GGGGGGTGTGTTATATGTAGGAATTACTTGTTTGTGAAAACAAAGCATTTTTGTCTTCATTATAGAGAAGCAGATCTGAGTAAAAGTGCATTTAACATTACAGAAAAAAACAGCCTCCCCCTACCTGCTCCCACATGCATATATTTTTTATTCTTTCTAACAAACTGATAACTAGTTCTCCTTTAAAAATAGAAAACCTGAATCCCTGGTACCATACACAAAATTGCTTTCAAGTTTATTTAGTCATTAAGATAAAGGATCATACGTGATTCTTTTTTAGGCTAAGCCCCTCTTCAGATCAGCAAACAGGCCTTGCATCCATTGTAACAGCAGCATAAGTGACTTGCACCCATCCAAAAGCCTTTTTTCATGGTCAGTGTGGTGTAAAGGATCTTACTTTAAATAAGAAGTAGGCCCATGCATGTGTATTTGTTTAACATATGGTATCAATAATCTGGTTCAACATATTTAAGGGTTGTATTTGTTAGAACTGAAATATGATGAATGACTCCAAGGTTGCTACCTCATACGTTGAGTTTATGACTGAGAATTTGATTTAATATTGTTGCTATATTCCAACACAAAGAAGTATAATTTCAGCTGTGAGTGAATTAAAACATTTCACCGTTATAATTATGCACTGAATAATTGATTATGTCTTTTTTTTGGTTTCACTTTTCATGTTCTAACTGATGTTGCTTTAAATGCTGTGGACACAGTGAAACTTTTCTTTAAACACATTGTAGAATCCTATAAGGGTTTCATATACAGAACACTGAAATCTTCCAAAATATTTTTTAAAACTATTTACTTTCAGTATGCTGCAACTCTGAAATGTTATGTTTATTCTGAATTTGTGTATTTGTTTTCTTCTTTTAACAGAAGGAGTTTAACAGTGATTGCAAATTGAAGGAAAGAATAGAAGAAAATGGGTATAACACTTACGCATCCTTAAATTGGAAGCACAATGGAAGGCAAATGTTTGTGGCCCTGAATGGAAGGGGAGCCACAAAGAGAGGACAGAAAACAAGAAGGAAAAACACTTCAGCTCACTTTCTTCCAATGGTAGTAATGTCATAGATAAAGGAACTATTTTATCGATGCGGTTGAACCAAAGGCTCTTATGTCAAGAATATTTGGTAATCCTCTTGAAGAGTAAATGCAAAGAAATAGTGCAGACATCTGCTTATTTGAAAAGAGAGCAGGGGAAGCCTTTGAAGGTTTTGTACTTATTGCTGGCACATTAAATACTTTTATTTAGTTCGGTGTCATATCTTATAATCAAGATAGAAGCTGGATCAAATGGGATGGAAGTTATTGCCAGTGTGAACTTTTTTTTTTTTTTTAATCTCTGCAATGGAATTTAGGGGATGAGACAATCTTGAATGATTTTCATGGGGAAAGTTATTTATGGAATACTAACTCCTATCAAAGAACTTAATTGCTCTTTCAAGCCTAATGATCCAATGAACAGTTAGACACACAAGCATTTACTGGAAGCACTTGGGTCATATGCACAAGTAATGGCATTTCTGGAGAAGCCTTGTGGAAGAATGGATAGGATAAGGAATATAAGCAAAGTAGTGTAAAACTGTTCTAACAAAACGAATAGTATGGTTTGCTTGTATGTTCTAACTTCATTTCTTTTGATTTCTAAGTTATTTATTTAATAGGATGTTAAATATCTTTTTGATTTGAACTGTTTTCCTCATTTGCTTCTTTGTTATTTTCCCTTTTTCTCAGTACTTCACACAGAGGTTGACAGGCTAACATGTCAAAACCTCAGAAGTACTCTGAGAATAGGTATTATACAAGGCTTTAAAGGCAGAATTTAATGTGTATAATCAATTTTTTTCCTAAACTGTCTTGCACTTAAGCAAAAAGACCAAACAAGCAGTGCTTGGATTTATGGAATTGGGTGTCCTTATGTTGGAGAAATTTCTTTACTTATCAGTACACAAGAACAAACGTCAAGCAATACTTTGTTCAAAGCATCTTTCTGCTATTCTGAAATTGAGAGAAGGGGCCACATCTGTACTTGGGTGTCAATGCATCTGTATGCGTATATTCATCTGACTTTGATTTCAATTTGGAACTAAGATCTAATGCATTGCAATCAGTGTGATATTCTGCAGCAAGCATTGGGCTGGAACCTAGATGTGGACATGTGTGACCTGTTAAAGTCACTGAGATTGCAAATGTTAAAATTGAACACTGTGTAATTCCCAAGTGTAAAATTTGGCCTCTGAACAGTAAGTAAGAAGGCAACACAGTTCTGCACTCTTTATTCAGTTAATATGCCCATTCAGCACATTTGTCCTTGCTACCAGCTTGTAGAACCATGGGGATATAGTGAGAACAATACCTAAGGACTGAGGGACAGAAGATCCAAAATCATGCTCGTGCATTTATCAGAGACTATTACTCACATGTATATTATATATGAGAGCCAACCAAAAAAACTGTGCTGGTATTCAGCTTCAGCATGCCTTTCATATCCATCACAGTAACTGAAGGCTCAAAATACATAATATCCAGCACATTTTTATGAAGTGTTACTAGTCCCGTGGCTTAACTTGAGCAACTGCCGTATAACAAAGTTAAGCATAATATGAAGTCTGTTCAATTAAAGGTACATAAGGTTTGTTTTATGTTTTGCTTTACTCTGTAATTTTAGAGAGCTCTGGATAGCTCACCAATGTAACCATATTGAGACTCATTTTGTTAGAGCAGATAACTAGAAAACAATACATCAAACAATTTGTACCACTGTTTTCACATTGTATTCCACTAAGTAAATAAATAAGCCTTTGCAGTGTCTTTAGTAAGAAACAAAAGTAGTATAATATTATTTTGTTCTAAATACTTTAAGTGATAACTATGAGATTATATTGATGCTGCAGTTTTATCTTCAATATTTCTTGTTGTGAAAAAGTTGGTTTTATTTTTATTGTTTGGAAACTGTATTTTGGTACAAAGAAAAGCCTTGCTTAATGTGTCTTTTTGAGAATGTTTAATCTCTATAAAGGCTGGTGGTGTTGGAATCTTCTGTAACTTATTTAAGTCAATGTTTAACCAGCACTTCAATCTTAATCTGTTATTTAAATATTAGCTGTTAAAAAAAAATAGCTTTCCCATAAAATACAAATAGTCAGATTGCATTTCCTGTCCTGAAATAAAGTCAACTCTTTTAAACCCAGGAATTCATTGAGACAGCATTTTAGCTCATAGCTAACATTGTATTTCATGGTACTTTATCACCAGCTTCTTTCTTCACCAATGAGATTTTTCTAGAAAGGGAAATAAGAATTTTAGATTTTAAATGTAATTGCAAGTCACAGCAAAACTTAACTACCATGATAAAAGTGAGTTTCTGTTGTTTCAAATTTGTAATCAATAATTAAAACTGGCATGACATTATGGACCACCCACAGTGAACATTCAATGTGAGCTTGGGCAAATGCAGTATTGGATGACCACTTAAAGAACATTTAGGGTACAAATGAAATTCCTTTTTGACAGAATTACCTAGATCACTTGGTCAGGGGAGGGATTATGCATAAATACTATCATAATACTCAAAATATCATGCTGCTCAAAGGCCCAAATCAGGAAATATCACTTTTCCAAAGTCAGCAGCCATTAGTGACACTAATAGTGGTTTCTGAAAATCAACCAAAATAAAAAACTTGAAGGAATCAATGATTCCTGTGTGTTTGGTATACTGTAATACTCACTGTAGTGGGAGCAAACTGCAGACACTCTATCTACCCATATCACAGATCCTCAACCATACGCTCTGTTTTCCGTCACCCTCAGAATAACAGACTCTTGAGCAAAAGGAAAAGAGAGGGAGAGATTTTAAAAAGAAAAGCGAAACAAATATCACTGAGCAACAATGTATAGTATGTTTATATATATTTAAAGAAAAATAATAAAATGTGGGGATAGACAATAAAAGTATTGTCCTTGTTTGTTTTATTACCCTGAAATTATATTGCACAATAAAAATAAAAAGGGAAAAGATCGTTGTACTACAGGATGTGGTTTGGTGCTGTATAGCCACAAAACAAAACAAAAATCACTTGAACATTTGTAAGTTTCTTTAATTTTTTGCATGTGTGAGTCAGCTATCTACACACTAATAACAACCAAATGCTTTAGATTCTTCCTGTAAGTATTCAAATCCACCTAGTTTATACAGTGGAAAAAGCAATGAATTTAAAGCAAGCACATCTGATGAAAGAATGAAGTGGTTTAGGAAGAACAACATGTAGTCACATTTTTAAAGTAAACTTTAGATAAAGAAAAATAGTTACATTTTATATAAGACTTCATTCAAGACATTTCAGGTTATAAAGTTCACTAAAGGTTAGTAAGTTTTAGTAATACAAGAATCCAGTGTACGAGCACAACTTTGTAATTCATGCCCCTGCTAAAACTGATTGTTTCTATTCACACAATCAGTTGTAACTGCTTCAAGGAGTGATCTTAATACATGAAGACAGCCCCTCTGTTGAAGTATCAAGTGTCATTATTTACTCTATTAAGTTAGATTGTGGGGCAGAATTCATCCTCCTAATTTCCTATTAAACTGGAAAAAGAAAAGTACAACACAACAAAAATGCATTTTCTGCTGCAGGTAGTCAATGTGTGATTACTGATGGTATTTTTCAGAAAAACTTCATTGACCTGAAACAATTTCAGTGCAACTGCAAAAATACAAACACACATTAAAAAAAATTGTTTCCCATCACATTATAAGCAAAAAACAGAATATGAAAAATTAGTTGGGTTTGGACCTATCAAATTAAGATTTATAGTTGTGCTTACCTACTCAAATATTTGAATGTCATGTTTAACTATATGGAAGCTTTCTCAGAATAAGTTTTGGGATTTCCTAATAAAGCACGGTGATTCTCAGATATCTGATTGATGTCTTTGCACTCACTAATCCCAGAAAAAAAAATGTAGTGTGTCCTTTGCCACCCCAACAATATAAAGAAAATATGCTCCTGTGAAAGGCAACATAAAGGAACCATGTAAGCCTCAAGTAACTGATATGGGAGCACTGAGCTCTAAGTTACAGTAGTGTAAATGAGGAGAATTTGCATTCCTGAAATTCCTCACCAGGACCTTTAGTAATGCCACTGTATACTGTTTCATTAATGCAAAATACTAACTTATGCAATTGAATAAATGGATATATTGGTGGTGACATCAGAAATACATGTTCTATCAGACAACTGTCCAAATATGAGGGTATGAGAATTCCAATATCTGAAAAAAAACCAAAGAAAAAACACAGAAAGTACCCTACTGTATAGTTCTGTGCAAAATATTTAGGGCTCTGATAATATATAGATAATGTACCACAGTGGAAAAAAACAGTCTATATAAGCTCAGACTCTAAATTTGTCTTGCAATAATGTAGTAAATGAAGAATCAAGGTATTACAGGTTCTTTATTACTACTGAAATGTAAAGTGTGCATACCTTTGATGTAGCTATTCATCCAAGCTCCAGATGTAGTATTTCACCAACCAAACTATTCTGTGGCTTGGTTTAAAATATGTTATATGATCTTTTGATTATGAAACTGTTTTACTAATTGTTCAATGAACTTTTAACCCTTTCATTTGCTAACAGTCTTCACAGAAGTCTGCGAAAAGGCCTAACACTGGTCTGCACCTGAATCTGTACTTTTTTCCCAGCTATAAATAGCTGAAAAAAAGATTACATTCAATGTTGTACATGCAGGAACTTGCCTTATTCAGTGAGGTGTGCCTGAGTGGGATGAAAAATTAATCTCTCCAATCCATTATTTTCATGATGCCCTGGTAATTTGTAAACGTTCTTGCATTAGAAATAATCTTGAAGTCTCACTTCCCTATGTTTCCAAAATGTACATCACAAAATTGTATGAGCACTTTAGCTTTCTCTTCTACCTCTTTTTTTTCTTCACAAGTTCTTATTTTCTTCTACCTCTTTTTTTTCTTAACAAGTTCTTAACAAGTCTCAACTTTAACAAGTTGAGACAGCACTCAGAAAAGGAACTGCCTTATCAGGACCCTGTAAATACAATTTAACATTCTTTCCAATTTGTACTGAAATAATCTATTCAGGACAATCAAAATGTTTTGAGCTTGGTCTTCTAGTATCCACTAGGCTTCAGGTACAATTAACTACATTAAAAAAATATTTTATTTATACTCAATTATAGAAAGACTAGTCCAGGAACAGCAGAATCTTGAAAAAAAAAACCCTCAATAAACACTTTCTAGGTGTTAAGGTCAATAAGCTGGGATCTTTCAGGCTATATTTCTAACAAATCACAATAAAAAATTAGTATACAGGGTGTAAATAAAAATCGCAGTGTAAGTTTTCACATGAGGTATTTTAAATTTTAAAATTTGCACTAAAAAGTGAGCACAAGAAACATTCTTCATTTAATCTTCTTGAAAAATATAGTTTTCAGTTTACTGTTGTACTGCTAACTACGTGCA